CACGGCGCCACAACGGGAGCGATTCGACACGCACGATCTCCGCAGAGGGTTCGCTGTTCATGTGGAAAATTCGCACGGCGCCACAACTGGAGCGATTCGACACGCACGATCCCCGCAGAGGGTGCGAGGGCGAGTTTTTAAAATTCGCACGGCGCCACAACGGGAGCGATTCGACACGCACGATCCCCGCAGAGGGTGCCAGGGCGAGTTTTTAAAATTCGCACGATTCCCGCTAACCCTACCCCGGCTTTAAAAAAAGATAAAATTAAAGGCGATGTGAAGGCGATGTGTGCAAATGCTGTGGCGCGGTGTAGGTGAGCGGTGTAAGTGTAGTGGTGTGTATGGTGTGTGCAATGTATGTGGTGCGATGTGTGCAAATGCTGTGGCGCAGTGTAGGTGAGTGGTGTAAGTGTAGGGCGATGTGTGCAAATGCTGTGGCGCAGTGTAGGTGAGCGATGTAATTGTAGGGCGATGTGTGTGCAAATGCTGTGGCGCAGTGTAGGTCAGCGGTGTAAGTGTAGTGGTGTGTGCAAGGCAGACGCTTTTCGACGAGGAACCCTTCGCAAAGCTTTCAGGAAAAAGAGGATGAAGTCGGTCGGATGGCACCAGAAGCATAAGCAACCGGACACCTTTAGAGTCTAGAGCAGAGCCTGAGCTGCACGACCAACACACCTTCCCTAATGCGGCCCTCACCTTCTAAACTGCCAAAGCACAATCGCTGCATGTGACTTCCAAAAAAATTGTTGCACAGGGCAGGCAAAGGCAGTGGCTGTGGCTCAGCCAGTCCTTCATGGCCTTGAGGAGCTTGAAGTCGCTAAACTTGGAGGCCTTTTTGCTAGGGGTGGAGGCGGCCTCAAGGCAACGCCACGTAAAATCTTCAGCAACTTTCTTGGTACGAGCCTCCTTCGGGTCCACTTCCAGGCGTTTCTGCACTTGCTCATTGCTATTGCCTGCCTGCCAGGACTAACACGTGTCCTCTTCCGGGTGTGGCAGAATTGTCGAAGAACTCGCAGGAACTGGAACAAGTAACACTGTGAAACAACACAATGCTCAGACGATGTTCTGCCCACACCCGACTGAATCCCTCAACAGTAGGCAGCACGGGTTTAAGCTAGGACCGGTGCATGCCTGTCTGCAGTCGTTGTTGTCAAGCGCTACCTCGGCAAGGCTTGTCTCCACTGCAAGCGGGCCCGCCCCGTGAAACCAAAGCCAGTTCCTTCGATATGCTTGTAAATTGCTGCAGTGGATTGAAAGGAGAGCCGTGTTAGCCAATTGAAGGGAAAGCCGCGATCCAACAGGAACCACGAACATCTCACGCTGTCACCACCATTCAGTCCAGGATGCCGTATCCTCCGTCGTGGGCCGGTAAACCAAAGTGCTGTCACTCTCCGTGCCTGTATGCAGGGATGCTGCACAGGAATATTCCTGAAGCACTGCTTCAGGTGATGAGCGTTAAGAGGTCACACCTTCTCCGAGTTTCGATATAAAGGTGGCTGAGAGGACACTTTTGGTCTGAGTCCCTGCCACGGTTTTGATCCTGGGAAGTGTGCCAGAGTCCGCCTCTCGGCCTAGACAAGATAACCTCTATCAAGATAAGATGGGCCAGGTGCAATGGCTCTGAACAACTGAACGAGTAGGATGTGGCAGTACATGTCTTACTTTGCTCAGAGTCATGCTGCGCTCTCTCTTCCCTCGAGAGGCAGTGCGTGATTTGCTTTCTGAGCTTTGCCGATGCTCCAAGCGAGGGAAGAGGCATGGACATGTGGCTGTTTTCTTGCTGGCTTGATCAGTCGCAGCACCATCAAAACATGATTTGAGATGAAGTACATCCTGAGATTAAGGTCATTTCGAAGGTTGCGCTCCACAACATCTTGGTCTGTTGGTTGCGTTGCGCGGTGCTGCTGTCCGATGGACAAGTTGCTACGTGCGTTGCCTCTCTTCCGTGACTTTACCGAAAAATCGTGCGGCTGGGCAGCTTACAGCTCTGCCCCACCTTCTGGCACGACTTCTTCTTCAATCGTCATCTTGCCTGCGAAATGTCTACCGGTGACAACAAATTAACTTCTACTCCATTATTGAGCTGTGAACTTTAGTGCAGCCATGGCTCGCGCAGATTTGAGCACTGCATGTCGGATGCTGTTTAGCTGCCTGGGCTAGTGCTGTCGAAGCTCTGGCTCTACCAACTCAACTCGGTTTCTGGGCTGTCTGCTCTTCTTTTCAACTATGCGCTTGCTGGTGCCTTTGGATTGTTTTCCCTGAGTGGCAGACCTAACGGCTCAATAGTATTGAAATGTTCAATGTGCATCTGGGACACAGCCATTGACTAAAAAATCCAGACGGGAGAATTACTTGGCTATGGTTTCCCCCAGTCTTCCCAAACCCTTCGAAACGTCTGAAGCCTTCCAATGTCATGCCCAGCGACTCGATCTGACCCTTGATGAAGTATCCCTGCCGGCGCAGCAGACATGTTCAGTGTGACAGCTGCTGTCATGACAACACATCATCCGTGATGCCCAAATAGCCTCGGCGTCATCGGTGGTAGCGCTGCAGCAGTGCTCCATGACGCCTGAGAAGGAACTGCTTCAGGTACCCGGACTCAAACGATCTGCAGTCATCCTCTCCGTTGCCATGCGAAACACCAGAGCTACCCTCGCTGACTTCAGCAGCAATCCAGGTGTCCCTACATGTGTCTCTGCTTGCTCTGATCAAAAAACTTGCTCTGCAATTCCCCATCACTTCTAGCCTGCAGTCTTCTTTGCAGGACTAACACACATGCACATCCAGTATGCAGAAGCGCGGCTCAGCGTGCTCATGATAGCTGTCAGCTGCAGCTCGAACTGACTGAGTTCCAGGTTGCACGCGAACCTGACAATCCCGGTGCGATATCAACGTGCAAGCTTTGATATCGCCTGAGCATGCGGGTGCGCACATCTCAAGGCGACATGCTGCTACAAGGCTGCTGGCTTCGCATGAGCTACAGCCCATTCCACTTGCGAGTCAACCCTCACATCAACTATAGTCACTACAGTAACTACAGCACTCTAAGCATCCTCTCCCGTGAATTTTGCTCCTGAGCATTGAATCGTCCAAGGATTCTCCAAGGCATCAAAGGATCAGTTGACAACAGAGACGAGTGTCGTTGGATGCAGGTGGTATACATGTAAAAAACCATGCTGCATGTCTTCTTGCCTCATAGAACAACAGAAGAGGCTGCCAGACTCCGGAGGCTTTGCAGGGTGTCATGGCGTGCATTTGCGTTACTGAAAGCAGAGATGTGGAATGGACCCTCAGAAGTCCACGATGAATCGCAGAGGTTCTTAACACAAGCCTGATGTTCACGAGATCCGACAAGGCCTTCGTCTGCCGAAGTTGACTTGGAATTTGACTTGCATCGGCATGTTGATATCCATTTCCTGGAATGGCTCATCACTAGGCTCTTCTGATACGTCTGCAATGCACACTTTCCACAAGTGCGAAAGGAATAGCATGAACTGCGAAATTCCAAAGAGCTCGCCAGCTTGATGTTTCCTGGCAGCTTGCTGGTCCGCTCGTCGACTGGCCCTCTGCCACCGCCAAGCACAGCAATAAACTTACTTTCCACAACCCTCTGGACAGTAGGTGCTGGTTGCTGAGCTTTGGACACTGCTCACTGTATGAAATGAAGAACAACAGCAGCTACTACTACCCTGAAGTGCATGGAGCCAGAGGAGCAAAGTCCACAATGCATGGTCTGCCAAGTGCTTGATCATAATGCCAAAGCCAATCCTTGCGTTTCACGCTTGTCTCAATGCAATTTGAACCCTAATTAGGAAACACACCCTGATTAGAGCGCGCCATTTCTGCTGCAACCACACCGTCAGTGCGCGTTGGCTCCCTTTGGCTCACACTCGGCTTAGCGCTAGCGCGGCGGAGCGGTACAGCGAGCTGCAGACGAAGCATGCCACCTTCAGGGACTGTGACTTCTTGCTTCAGGCTCAGGCAAATGCATCCACAAAGCAGCAAATACTTCATGGCGCGATTGCCTGCTTCTGGCTCAGCTCTGTCCTGGGACATCGTGACACATGAAACTTGATACTATGCATGCATGTTGTGTCGTGATGGCAGACGCAGTGAAAAGCTCCCGGTGAAAGGTTGCCGCCACGTGGTTCCTATCTCTTTTTGTCGAAGGCTGAACATTCCAATCCTTTGAAGATACTCTGGCAGCAATCGCTGTGCGCAGGTGGTACGTAACGGATAGATGCCAGGCCCTATAATATAAAATGCTGTTGACATGATATTAATTATTAAGAAATCAATTTAGCTGACATTACTTATGTTTTTTCTACAGAGTTAATCTCGGCCAGTCGGTCACAACATGCACGGCAAGTACCGGACCACCATCAGGCCCCAGATGCTCAGTTCGGTACTCTTACACACAGAGATCGAAGGAAAACTCAGAGCTACAACCGTTCCAACTTCAAGAAGTCACAGCTTTGCAGAGGGACCACACAGCTCATGCCGGTTGACACTATCTCAAATCTGCCAGGTCTCTGCGATGTGCTAGCCTTGGCAAGGGAGATCAGTACGGATGGTCCAACCAAAACTGCAACCACCAACTTGTTGATGCAACGCGCTTTCCCTTGCGATTGACAACCGTGCAAAGGCTGCGACACTGTGCCTGCCTGCAGGCTAAAGAGTATGCGATTGTTATGCCTGTACAGGTGTTGGTGCATCGTTGTCCTGTTTTGTTGCTCTTAACCTTGTTATGCACCAAGCCTTCCCACTTTTGACTTAGACAAATTTATCGTGCAGACTTCTGCCCGGGGACCGTTGTTGACACGATGTCGTCCAGAAGGTCTTCAGCCTCGAGGCCAAAAAGTCGCCAATCCATAACGCCGCATCACGTCCCCGGAGCTGCAAGCAATCAAGGCATATTTGCAACTGAAGTCACAGACTCGTAGACAAAACGGATGGAGATCTTGCCGCGCGCCGTGTCGCACAAATCTGCTCCCGCAAAATCCTCACTTTCACAATTTACGGGACAGCGGTGCAACTCTGTGCTGCTCAGAACGTACCTTCTCAACAGCATTGCCCGCCCCCACACCCGCTTGCTCGCTTCTGAACTCACATCAAAGATGATCAGCTCAGGCCACCACCACAGGGCCCTGCATGATCCAAGACATAGGAGCCTGATGTACTTGCGGTCACATGCGGATCATCACAACAATCCCCATCTGCCAGCCGGATCCAAGTGGCCGTGAGACACCCCAGGAAGTCATCATTGCCACGGATGGTCTTGAGGTGGTCCTGTGAGGTGTTGCGCTTCAGCGTCAAATCTGTCATCTGCTTCTTCCTCGAGCTTGGACCTCGTCCCAAACACTGACTTGGACTTCCTGGCTCCGGTGCGCCTTAGAGTGCTAAGCTCTGGAGCCTGCGACACTTTCTCACAACTGGCACGGCCTATCTGACACCAACTTCATTCCTGAAACCCTACAAGCAGGGAAGCTCAACATGCACTACGCCTGAGACAGTCGCGCTGTGCACAGGCAGGAGCAAAAGGCTATTCCAGACCGGATTTCGAGTCGTGGGTATTGTTGCCTCAGCACGATACAAGATCAGGCAATTGAGGAAACCTGAAATCTGACCCGAGTGCCAGGCCGTGCGCTTGACGCAAAGCCCCAGTTTCACAGTGACGTACGGATCCGAGCTCCCGTTCCTCAAATGTCCATGGATGATGAGTAGCTTGAGTGAGTGCCTTTCGTGACGAAAGATGTTTTGGGGGAAACCTGCACTGGCAGTACCTGTCAGGATCGCTTGGAGTTCAAAGCTCAGAGCAAAGAGGTAAGCATTCGCTCTCTAGGCAGTCGCAGCTCCAAGCGCATTGACAGCACTAAGCTCGAAGAGGCCCAAACACCCTCCCTTTCCAGTCTACGGTATACACATCCGCATCAACAAGCTACAGTAGGTTGCTGTGCTTTTGCTGTTCCTGTTCTGTCAGCCGGCAGAACTTTTGGTGATCGACAACTTGCCCGGACGACACAAAGGTGGGACCAGCCCTGCTGGGATTGAAGCTGCACAAACGTCGGTCTCGTGATCGATAGATGTTGCTGGGCTCAGGGTGGGTACTTCGCACAAGTCCGTGCCCATCTCATATAGCCAGTGAGGCGACTGGATGCCCTACCTCTGCATCAGCCAGTGCCTGCCTAGTACTACTTCTATTCGGAAATCTTGGCATACAGTAGGAGGGCCCGGCTACAGACATGGCGCAACAAAAACGTTTGCCTTGCTTGATAACAGCACCCTCAGAAAGCTAAGGTTCCAGTCTGCAGCGATTAAGTTCTCTGCTTTCACGACCTCAACCCGCAATCGCCCTGTCCAGGACAAACTTATCATCTGCGGACAAGAATGGGTAGGCCATGCTAGGCCCATGCGAGCCTTCAGTTCCAATGTCTCCAGCTCCAGGCATTGTCCGTATGACCTGCGACTGGGAAACCTCAAGGCCTACCTCTCCCATTCTCTAGCACACCCCAGCCCATGTCCACACCTTCTCATAGACGAACATCAGCTGCCGTTCAGCATAGGTATCAGCAGATCTGATTCAGGCTATTGCCACCGTTTCCGTTTGCCAAAGAAAAGGCATCTTCCAACGGTCGACCATTGCAGCCGAGCTGCACACAAGAAGTCTTCTCACCTGTGCCTTGGGCCACTCGGAGAAGATTCTCGGCCTCCAGGCAATGAATCGTGATCAATAAGTTTGCACGGGCTTTTTGATGGACATGATGCCTGCTTTTTGATGCTGTACTTGATCGAGAAATCAATGATACCCACGAAATAAATCTCAGAGCAGTCCTGGCAGCAGAGGCTCTGTCAAGGCAGCTTGCGGCAGAGATGGAAATTGAGACCTCAAGCCGTTGGAGTCGAGGCAAATTATGATCTAACAAGATAACTTTCGTCACTAGCTTACATCCCATGCCTCAGTCCTCGGATACAAGACATCCTTCTCCCCACCCCGGGGACAGCGCAACGTCCTGCTTTTCAGATCGAGCTGAGTGCATTGCCTTTTTGACTCCATTGTAAAGCTGAAAGTTGGCTCAATGGCTCCTCCTCGGATTCTTCTTTTTGCTGCGTGAAATGTGTTCCTTGAGGCAGGCAAGTTCGCGTTCCACCGTAATTGACCTTCCTTCCTTCCAATTCTGAGTGCTGGAACCCAGGAGGATGGAGTAGTCCATCATCTTAAAGCTTTCCAGAAGCCTCAGATGCTCTGCTCTCCTTTTACCAGCCCGCCAACGATTCCCTGATCCTGCACCGCGGCGTTGTCTCAGGAATGCCTCAAGCTGCAACAAGGCGTCTGCAGGTCAACTTCAACTTGAGCTGCAAACTGCCGTCGCACCTTGGCTTGACACCATGACGAATAGCACTTTAACTGTGGGTCTCAGCACTGCAGACATTCTTGCCAGGATACGGAAGCCGGCAAATTCATGCAGTGGTTAGCCTCCACCCAGTCCTGAATCACTGAGCTTAGTTCCGATGCACTATCCAAAGTAAAACTGTGAGCAAGCATTTTGTATTGACTTCTCTTTAGAGTTCTGCGCCTGGTCTTTGCCGACGGATTCTCCAGGCTTGGACTTGCCTGTAGAACAAAATTGACTGTGCAGGATACTATTGAATCCGGGATATCCACAGCTAACCTTCTTCACCACACCACCTTGAGTAGTAGGACTTGGAGGCAAGGCCCGCGCGTTTGTGGAGCGAGCCCTTGAGGTCGAACTTCAAGTGCAATGGAAGCCTCGCACTCACCCTGCTTCAAAAACACCGTGCCACGGCTTGCTTGCATAGCAGTGTTTGCAGACCGACAAACAAGGATGATTCCACTTGTATTGTTCGTTTGTCAGAACCACATTCGCACGCAATCGGTCGCCTGTGATCGAAAACGGACTTCATGACCTTAGCTCAGGACAAATGTCATGCCTTTTGCTGAGGAGAAGCCTCAAAAACACTTCAAGCTCACAGCGGGCCAAGCCGCTATGAAATGAATTGGCTGCTCCGCAAACATTACGCGATAGAGACCTGCATTGAAGAAAAAATTCTTCCATGCTGCATCAGCCATTTACACCCTGACATCTCTGCTGCCCTGCACAGTCCCATGATGTCAAAGCACGACAGTTGCACAAGCAGTCTGCGGATCTGTCAGCCTGCATATCGCACAATCAGTGAGCGTGGCCAATGCTGGAAATGCTCGAAATAGGCCGGCATCATGCGGGCCAGAAGCATTAACCTTGGCTCAGACTGTGTTCAATCTGTGTTGTTTGTGTACTCAGGTGACACTGGCCCTGCAAAATGCACCAGGCTGCTCCTTGCCAGAAAGGGTTTTGATGATGAACTGTCGGTCATCAGAAAAGAGGAACAGCTCGCCGGACTTGGAGTTTGTGGGCATCACCCTGGACACCCGTAAACCAAGAAGCGCGACTGATCCGCACACTCTTCGGAAGTCACGCCTATAGTCTCCGGCGCCATGGCCCAAAGATTCCATGACTCTCTCTGGGGTCACAGCGTCGCCTGCTCAGTCAGGAATTACGCAAGCTCACCATGGGACGTGATCCATGTGCTTGCGCAAGGGCAACTTCAGCTTCTCAAAGCACACTGCCAGAACAATCGCGGTGCCTAAAAATTGAAAAATCTCAGGACAGAAGAAGTGCATGTTCACCTCCGCAATGTCTCCTCACCAGGTCGAGGTTACTCATCTGAGTACCTTCATCTATACCACCTAACAGCTCAAACCACACATCCACGCAATTTCAGATGTATAATAGGCACACATGCGCCCCCCCCAAACCTATCCCTTAAAACAAAGGCATCCGGCTGCATGCGGCATTCGGTCCAAAAGCAAATGCCATCAGATACCCCGACATATCTGGGTTTGGTTGCTAGGTCTACGACCCTGACAGTCCCGTCCTGAGCTCCTTTCATGAACCTTCGCGGCTTTGCAGGAGAACTATGCATAAAGCGTCAAGTGTCAGCAAAAATGCAGCCCGGCAACACTACGTTGGGTGAGGCCCAACTCGTGCGAGTACCGCAGGATGGCCTGCTTGGCAGGCCTGAGCACCCAGCAAACATGGAGCTGAACATGGCCAGCTCAGTACGAGAACATGCACATTCCAGATCTGAATGTGCTAGTCTCAGCAAGGCTTTGACTTGATCTAGCTGCCGCCAGGAGGCTCCCCACGCTGCTCTCCCAAGATCTGCATTAACCTCACAAGAGATCAACCAAGCTAAGCAAGCTCACAGGGCTGAGTTGGCCTTGATCGCTTGATGACGATCTCTGCCCCAACATGGACGCAATGCCGAAGCAAGGACAACAACATGTCCCGCTCCAAGCCTTGGCTATCTGATTTCAGTTGCATGCGGAAGCCTGCGCAACGATGTCGAACAGTCTTCCATAGCAACACTATGCCATATCTGTAAGCTTCTGCAAGCCCAAGAAACTGTCAGTGGCCGCAGCTGCGTTGCAACCTGAGATGTCGAAGAAATTGAAGCTCGCCATAGCTCGACTTGTGACAGCACAGGAGGGCGAGAAGGTATCAGTTTCTGGGGCCGCGGCAGCCGCGCCGCGGTGCCATGCTCCAGGAGCTCACCGAGCCTCCACCATATATCCACCACTCGCGTCACAGCAAGGAAGGGCAAAAAAGGTCATTGCTGGGCCTGTGTCCGTCTTGTCGTTACTGCGGAAGCGCTCCGCAAACGATGCGCGTCCTGAACCAGTAGCCAGGTTAATTCCACTAATTGCAACTCTGCGAAAAGGCGAGATTCACACACACGCACACACACACACTTGAGCAGACCA